CATTCCTGCAGTGGAATTCCTTTTAAGGAATTGTGACTGATTGGACAGATTTTCTTAGTAACACATTTGCTATAAAAGGTCTCTAAATCTAAAGACCTTCAAGTCTTTTGGACTGGATAGCAAGAGGGCAGTTTATCGACTATCCAGTAAACTGAATTTTAACTGGACATTTGGGCAGAAAAGGTAGACTTAGCTCAGGGACTTTTGCTTTTGTCTCCTGGCTAGCATTTTGATATATGCTGTACAACCAAACAAATATTAATCTCTCAAAAGTCATTTTACTTTAAAAAAATAAAATGGTTAAAGTTTCAAAAGGTAACTATACCTGGAATTATCAAAGGTATGTAAAATGTGTTCTCATACTTACTCTGCTTTTGGGAGTGGGAATTATAAAGCCTTTGATATTGGATATCAAAACATATCATATTGGATAACCAGCATCTATCAGAAACTATAAAAAGTTATATACTTTTTGACCTAATAATTCTACTTCTAAGAAATTTAAGGTAGTAATTGAACACAAAAATGTATATGGGAAGAAAAATAACAAAGGATATAAACCCTAGTATAGCATTACAGTGTTACCTATCAACAGATTTGGAGGGTATAACAGGGGCCTTATACCCCATCCTGGAGCACAGGCGTAATAACTAGTTCTGCTCTTTGCCATTATCTTGCCATCCCTTCCTCCTTATCAACTTGTACTGAGTCTTCCACGGGATTCTGCATTAGTTATAACAAGGCTTTGCAAACTGTTTTTAACTTTTCAAAAATATTATTGAAACTAAAAAAGTAGAACAAAACGCGAGTTTTTCTTTACTGGTTTTTTGGAATTCTGTCAACCCAACCTGATAACACTGGACAGCTCATGTTTAACAGAAGCTGTGGTCAGCATCTGAGTTTAGTATAATAAAAATAAATGGAAAGAAATTTTAAATTCAGACAAAGTTATCAAAACATAGACAAACATAGGATAGTACAAATTGCACAGGCTCTGGGTGAGGTAGTCTTGGGTTCTGATTCTAACTGTTTCTTATTAGTTGGGTAATCCTTGGCAAGTTACTTAGCCTTTTAAAGCTTCAGAGTTTCCACTTTGATAACGGGTGGGGGGGGCAATAAAATTGTTAAATAAAGTAACTCTATAGAGGTACACATAATAACAACTCATTTTTACTTCCAGGCACAGTTCTAAGTGCTTTGCACATATTAACACATTTAATCCTCTCGGTAATTCTGAGGTGGATTCTTTTGTTACCCCCATTTACAGATGAGGAAACTGAAGCACAGAAAGGTTATATAGTTTGCCCAGGTCATACACCAAATGATGGAGACAAGAGTTAAACCCAGGTCATCCGCTTCCAGCATCTAAGCTGTTCACCACTTCATGATATTGCCTCTCCAGCCAGAGCAGTGCTTCCTCCTTTGTAGGTGATCATCAAATGCTACTCAAAATCTTTTTGAGAAGAAGAAAAAGGTATCTATAGTGGTAAAAAATAGAGGATTACTGTCTTAACCCACTATTTGACATGGTGACCGCCAGGATTTTTATATAAAAATGAGACAGGTGGGGGATACATTGTCTACCATATTGGCTGGAGGCTTACATTTTGTTTTCTAGAACTCTGGTTGACGCTTGAACAACATAGGTTTGAACTGCATGAGTCCACTTATACATGGATTTTTTCCAATAAATACTACAGCACTACATTATCAGAGGTTGGTTGAATCAGTGGATATAGAACCACAGACACAGAGGGCAAACTGTAACGTTATCTGTGGATTTTTGACTGCGTGGGTGTCGGCACCCCAAACCCTGTGTTTAAGGGTCAACTGTATATCTGGTACATAGTGGGAATTTTCTTTACGTGTAATTACCTACAAGAGAGACCTGGTTAATTAGGCTGTGAACTGCTTTTAGACCTTAGCTTCTCACTTGTAAATTCTGGTAATGGTTTAGAATTTGAAAGCATCCCACCTACCATGAAAGCAATAGTTTTCCATAGGCAAACAAAACCTCACTTGTTTTTCCAGTCATTAGTAATGAAACATAGTCACTTGACATGACTGAAGGCACGAGGACATACAGATATACTTTTTCAATTCCGTTCTTTCTGTGTAATAGAAATTGCCACACTGAACATTTGGAGGTACAGTTGACCCCTTGAACAACACAGGTTTGAACTACACAGGTCCACTTAAATGCAGATTTTTTTCAGTAAAGGATCTGTGGTTATTGACTCCGAGGATGTGGAACTTTGGGAACAGAGAGCCAACTCGGATTTTCTATTGCGTGGGTGTCGGCCTCCCTAACACCTGCCTTGTTCAGGGCTCAACTGTAGTCAATAGAGTTTTAGATCTAGAAGAAGAAACTGAGATCCAAATGGTTAGTTGCCCAAAATCACATATCTAATAGTTTCTCATGATCATCTGATCCCTTGTGCATTGTTCGTCCTCACACTGCCTGCTGGTCGAGCTGTTCTCTTCAGCTCTGGATGCTTGAAGGGAGTTCAGCAGCATAATTAAGTTCTTCAGCAGCTGCCTGATGAACACCTGTTAGGTGAAAGCTTGTGCTGAGTACTGAGGAAATGAACATTCTTGAAACTGCAGTAATAGAAAACAGACATTTAAACAGATAATTATGCTAATTATTACAGTTGAGGTATGTTTCTTCTTTTAACCTTATATTCCATCCATCCTACTAGATCATGAACTCCTTAACTTGTAAAATAGTAGTCATGAAGCAAAGCTGAAAAATCTTCGAAAGTTTTCTGTAAATAATATTAACAGAGCTAATGTTTATCAACTAAAAGGTGGTTTGCATATAGCTATGATATACATGTGTGTGTGTGTGTGTGTGTGTGTGTGTGTGTGTGTGAAGGCATTTTTTGTCTTGCTGTTTCTTCAGAGCAGTCGATAATCACCTTACTATGAGTCTGCTACACTGTGAAAACAGCTGTGGATCCAGCCAGTCTGAGAGCGACTGCTGTGCTGCCATGGCCGCCAGCTCCTGTGGTGCTGCAGCAAAAGATGACAGTGTGAGTGGAACTGCCAGCACAGTGAATCTTTCCAGCTCTTTTATGGAAGAGATCCAGGGATATGACGTGGAATTTGACCCACCCCTGGAAAGCAAGTATGAATGCCCCATCTGCTTGATGGCATTACGGGAAGCAGTGCAAACACCATGCGGCCACAGGTTCTGCAAAGCCTGCATCATCAAATCAATAAGGTACGTGAGCATAAGAATGAACCTATAACAACCAAATAGAACATTATTACATAGAACACAGGGCATCCCAAGAATAGTCTTATACATAAAAAGCTACTTCAGGAAGAAGAACACTGAACAAAAAACTGAGAAATTTACCTTCTTATTCCAGTTCCTGCTGTAGTATGAAAGGTAATTACTATGTCCTCCCCTCCTTTGACCCTCAGATAAATAAACAATAAGTAGCTGCTTCTACTTAAAGCAGTTGTATTGTAGACTAGGGTGTGTCTCTAAGCTTTAAGAAAATAATTAAAAATAATGTACCTTAAATGATGATCCTACTAGAATATGATAATCTCAGCCATACAAATAATGCTGACTTTATGAGTAATCATTATTCTCATTTTAGTCACATTAAATTTTGTCTGCTACCTGCTGCCTATGGACAACTGTAAAATAACCAGTATTTTTAAAGAAAGTATTGATTGATGGCTCTGCCTTCATAATATATCCAGAATTCAATCCCTGCCTCACCCTGTTCTGAATCACCATCAGCTCTCTCACAGGCCTCCCTACTTCCACCTTTACCTTCTTCCAGGCTGTTCTCAATATAGCAGCCAGAATGAACCTGGTAAAATAAGTAAGATGATGTCATCTCTGCTCAGAGCATTGTAGCAGGTCATCTGGGAGTAAAAGCCAAAGCCCTTGTAAGGCCTTATATGATAGGTCCATAAATTTTCTGATCATCTCTCTATTAGGCTCCCCTTCCCTCTACCAATTCACTCTTTACTGTTCCTTGAACTTATCAAGCATGCTCTTGGGGAGTTGGCTTCAGCTGTTCTCTCTGCATCTTACTTCAGCTAACTGCTTAGTCAGTGCCCTTTACTCCCTCCAGTGTGGCTCAGATCTCACCTTCTTGTAGGTACCTTGGCTACCCTGTTTATACCGTGCCTTCCCCCACCTCTTCCCACACTGTCTCCCTTACCTACCTTTCTCTTTTACCTTCTTTTTTACCTACCTTTCTTTTTTTCTCTAACACTTTTCATATTTAAAAATACAGATAATTTGTGTGTTTATTGTCTGCTTGCTCACCTGGAGTATAAGCTCCTTGAGAGCAGGGCTTGAGATCTATTTTAGTTCTTGATATTTCCTAAGTGCCGGGAATAGCACCTGATACATAGTAGGTGCTCAGTAAATCATGATTGCATCAACTGAATGAAAGTATATGGGGTTTCCACAAATGATTAAAATTCATCTCCTAAGAAATAGATACATTTTACTATAATTCAAAAGTTAGATGGGAATATTTTTAGGTGACTAAGGAGTTCTATACAGGACAAAACAATGGAAGAAGTGGGGGAATTTTAGGTTCTTCAACTAATAAGCATCTAGTCATATTGGTGAAATCATTTTTAAGTAGGTTAGCTGGCTGTTCACTCATCTTGTAAGTTTTTTTTCTTTCGACTTTTTTTTTTTTTTTTTTTTTTTTTTTGCAGTACGCGGGCCTCTCACTGCTGTGGTCTCTCCTGTTGCGGAGCACAGGCTCCGGACGCACAGGCTCAGCGGCCATGGCTCACGGGCGCAGCCGCTCTGCAGCATTTGGGATCTTCCCGGACCGGGGCACGAACCCATGTCCCCTGTATCGGCAGGCGGACTCTCAACCACTGCACCACCAGGGGAGCCCTGTTGGGAGGTTTTTGATTACTGATTCAGTCTCCTTACTAGTAATGCAGTCTGTTCAGATTTTTTGTTTCTTTATGGTTCAGTTTTGGTAGGTTTTATGTTTCCGGGAATTTATCCATTTCTCTTAGGTTGTCAAATCTGTTGCCATATAATTGTTCATCGTAGTCTCTTTTGATCCTTTGTATCTGTGGTATCAGTTGTGATGTCTCCTCTTTCATTTCTGATTTTATTTGAGTCTTTTTTTTTTCTTGTTAGTCTAGCTAAACTTTTCTATAAAATTTGAATTTGTGGTAACTACATCCATACTTGGGAATTGGCTTAACTTAAGTTACAAGGGAGCATGTGTCTTGTTTCAATTTGGGGGAAAAATATGTTACCCAGTGGTGAATTGGCAATATCTCTCTAGGGTTGGTTGTCTCATCCTCCACACTATTGGCATTTTGAGCCAGATACTTCTTTGTTGTGGAAGAATGTCCTGGTGTTGTAGGATGCTTAACAGCATTCCTGGCCTCTGCTCACTGGATGGTGAAATAGCCCCACTTCCCCAGTTGTGAGATCCAGAGTGTCTCCAGACGTTGCCAGATGTCCTCTGGGGTCAAAATTGCCCTAGTTGAGACCACTGGTTTAGGGTATACATGAGAGCAGTGTTAAAGGTTCACCTTTTTTTTCTGTCTATAATGATTTTCAATTTATATTGTATTTAGGTAGAAATAGGACCATATTATGGATCGTTGATTTTCCTGTAGGTGAAGATGTACAGAAAAACCCAAGTGTCACCCATGCCCAGGAAGGTAGCTAATCTTTAGCAGTTTTTTAATAGCAAGATACTCATGAAAGTAGTGGAACAGTGGTCTGAAAAGGAAGTAAAACCTACAAAAGGAAGTGTGAGGCTTTTTTTTGGTTCTGTCTCCCTCTAAGCTAGAAATGACCACTTACTTCAACTTTAATGTTCTTGAAGGAATGGCTCGGAAATTTCTCATCGGTTATAGTCATTCGGAGAATCAAAAGGCAGCATCTCAGTCCAATTCCATTTTCCTTTGGAGTGATTGCTAATGCGGTGGATAGTGGTTTCCAGTTTACTTTAAAAGGTTCTTATTTTCTCTTAGATATCCATCACTTACGTTTGGGGAATATATTTCAATAAACTTGTTTGCGTCCCTGGTTCTCAAAAAATATTCGACAGTAAAATAATATCATGCAGTGTGAGAGAAGCCCTATAAAGATTGACTATGTCGGTCACATTTTGTAGTTATAAGGCATTTGACAGCAGACTCCCATTTTCAACACCTTTACGTGCACAAGAACCACCACTGTTGCTTTTCACGTAGGAGGTGTGCAACAAATGTTTGAGTGATTGACGCTCTGTAGCCTATCTGACATGCCACATTTCGTGAGTGAAGATTGAAACATCCCAAAAAGTTAAAGGGGAATGACAGACACCCAAGCTTTCTGGGGTAGTTTTTCCCATCGTAAGATAGAATAAACCATTGGGAAGCAGGACATATAGGTCCTTTAACTCCTGATTGCATTGTATGTACCCTAGACAGGAAACCTTTGTTGCCCGTTAGCCAGTGTTGATGACTGTTCAAAGTAAACCTTAAAATGTGGCCTCGTGGGGCTACTTACTGCTAATTGGTTAATTTTTACTTATGACTAATAACTATAGACATGTTATTAGTATATTCTGAGCAGCATATAATTAGTTACATATCCCTAGTATGTTGAATAGCTGCTGATAGAACAGAGGCCTGCTAGACTGCCAAAATTCCCATCCTTAACTTTCACTTCATTTGTGTTGTTCAAAATATGATTTTATTCAATTTCTCATTTTTTGGTTGAAATCTATCCCACAATCTAAAATCCCACACTAGTTTTTGATAGATAATCCATATGGTGCTAATGGTATCCATTTCATAAAAGAATGGTTCATAAACTGTCTATAAAAGGACAGTTTATTTTAGTGATATTATACAATATAATGTGTTAATTTATTTTCTATAGGAAATAAGTGTAGAATTTATATGTGATGAATTAAAGTTGTGTGTATTTTCTAATGTGAATGTTTGTTTAAAATCTACCAAATAATATATTTTGTTTGTTTCTTTTAGGGATGCAGGTCACAAATGTCCAGTTGACAATGAAATACTGCTGGAAAATCAACTATTTCCTGACAATTTTGCAAAACGAGAGATTCTTTCTCTGATGGTGAAGTGTCCAAATGAAGGTTGTCTGCACAAGATGGAGCTGAGGCATCTTGAGGTATTAAAGTTATTTTCTAGGTGTTAGCATATAGGCAGGGAAGTTCCTAGAGAATAGGAACTTTGCTGTGTCCATCTGGATATTGCCAGTGCCTAGCATATAGTGATTGGTTAGCAAATTCTTGCTGAATTAGTACCAACCCTTTCCCTTTCATTATTGAGTATAAATATAAGTAGAAACCAGAAATTTCTTTTTCCATCTACTCTGGCTTTGCCCCAGTGATGATAAAAAATAAATCAGTATTCTATAAGTTTTTTGGGTGAGCATTATCTGCAATAAAACTGAAGAGCATTTTAAATACAAGTGTCACATTTTAATTCCATAGCTTCATTTCTCTCATTTTGAAATAAGCAGCAAGTCACATGTAGTCATCATCTTAGCGCCATCGCCTTAGCACCCTCATACTTTTTTCTCTGGTTTTCTGAATTATTCATTTTATTATGAACTATAATATAGTTCTCCTATAGCTTGAGATTAACTGAAGCCACGAGATAAAATAATTTGCTTTTAAATTAATCAGTCCTTAGTGTGGTGGTTTTACAAGAAGTTAAATATCGCTTATGTTCCATTTGAAATTAAGCATTTAAAATATATTTGTAACTTGCCCCCTTTACTTAGCTCCTTTTGGAGGAGCGGCCTTTCGACACTACTGAATTGATAATGAGAAAATCTGACTTCTTTCCAACTCTCTTCCCTAATTGGATACATGAACCTGAAAAGTCACATCCTTTGTATAAACTTTCAATTCACAACCATTCTTTGAAAAAAACCCATTAAGGCCTTCATATTGTGGTTCTGTGGTGTGTACTAAACAAAGTAGGTTCAGTGGACAATTCTATAGAAGAGAACAGTATATTCTTAGAAGAGATTATATTTAGATTTCTTAAGGATTGGCAAATACTAACTGATAATTTTTTTCCATCATAGGATCATCGAGCACATTGTGAGTTTGCTCTTATGAATTGTCCCCAATGCCATCGTCCCTTCCAAAAATGCCAACTTAATATTCACATTGTCAAGGAGTGTCCAAGGAGACAGGTTTCTTGTGTAAACTGTGCTGTATCGATGGCATTTGAAGATAAAGAGGCATGTACTAACTTGGATTTGTTAATTCCACTACTATTTTTTTTTAATGTACAGTGATGGGGGTTAGCAGTAGATGAAGATGTTAATCCAGTTCTGAGTCTGTATTATAAGTTGTGAGAAGACTGATTTTTTAAGAAAGTAAGTTCAATAAACCATTCTAGTAAATGAGTGTAGAGTTTATATTTTCATCTCTTTCTGAGAAAGCGTTGTTTCTACTGCTTACCACAGTAGTAGATCTACAAGTAACAAGTTTTTAGGAAAGGTATATGCTGATCTGTTTCCCTGTGTGATATTTTAATGACCAGTCTTGGATTAGAGACAAATAAATAAAATAATTACTGTATAAGACTTATATTTTTCTCTTTAAAAAAGAGAATGAGTTGTTAAAGCTTTTAGGGGATTAAATTAAATCCTACAAAGTGTGTTCCTTTGGTGAGAATTCGTCAAACACATATGATGAATTCACTTTTCTGTACCTATGTTATACTTCAATTAAAACATTTATTTTTAAAAAGAAACTTCATGGCACTTGACAGCATCATGATCATAGAATATTTTTCCCATTTATAAACTGGGATGTAGAGGGATTAAGTAATTTTATATTAATATTATTAATGGCAAAGCTAGCACTGAGATCCTAGATCCTGGATCCGTATCCTATGTCCCTTTTACTAAAATAGTGTACATACAATTTATGTTCTTTTGTAACTATTAAGATACTTCCTTAAACTGTATTTCTTACAAATTTATCTTGTTAATTTTCCCTACTTTCTTATGAGATCAAGCATATTATGCTCATTAAGTTGATGAATTGTTCAAAAAAAATGTCAGCTAACTTGCTAAAAAGTCTGAGGCATAATTAGAGCAAATTGGTGTCTTCTTAAACTTCAGTAAATTAAATGGACCTAACCAGAAGGGTTAATTATTTCTTAAATTTTTTGTATTCTAGAAAACAAGGCTCACCTTTCTGGGGCCTTTGAGAACATGGGCCTCCTGCCCTAATCATGCTTCTGTTCTTTACCCTCCTGATAAGAGTTTTAATTGAATCATGCTGCTGCTGGAAGTTTTTGGAAAGGTGTCTTTGGAGAATTATAATGTTGTTAAATGATGTCCAAACAGTTACAGATGCATCTTTTGTATACTATCATATTCTCTTAAAGAGCTGGAGGGTGAGATGAATCTCATTACTACACTGGCAAATGGAGAGAAAATAACTTTTATAGATTATTCTCACATTGTTGTTTTACACACATCAAAAAAAAATAGGTTGGTGTTACCTTTTCAGGTTTTCTCACTTTTTTTCTTATATTTCTTTAATAAAATTTAGATTCATGACCAGAACTGTCCTTTGGCAAATGTCATCTGTGAATACTGCAACACCATGCTCATCAGAGAACAGGTATAATGATTCCCTTTCATAAATCAGTATTTCCATAAATAGGTTAAAGAAGTGAATTAGGTTTTTAACTGAAAATTTAAATCAGTAAGGCAAAATGAACACAGGTCGAAGAAGAATTAAAACTATGTGAATTTTAAATGCAAATCAGAATCACAATGAGGTATCACCTCACTATCATCAAAAAGTCTACAAATAATGTTCTGGAGAGGGTGTGGGGAAAAGAGAACCCTCCTTCACTGTTGGTGAGAATGTAAATTGGTGCAGCCACTATGGAAAACAGTATGGAGTTTCCTTAAAAAACTAAAAATAGAACTACCATATGATCCAGCAATCTCACTCATGGGCATATATCCCCAAAAGATGAAAACTCTTAATTTGAGAAGGTACGTAGGGAATTCCCTGGTGGTCTGGTGGTTAGGACTCTGCTTTCACTGCCGAGGGCCCAGGTTCAGTTCCTGGTCGGGGAACTAAGATCCTGCAGGCTGCGCGGCACGGCCAAAAAAAAAAAGAAGAAAAGGTACATGCACCCCAGTGTTTATAGCAGCATTATTTATAATAGCCAAGACTTGGAAACAACCGATTGGTTTAAGAACATGTGATATATATAGATAATAGAATATTACTCAGCCATAAAAAAGAATGAAATACTTCCATTTGCAGCAACATGGATGGACCTAGAGAATATTATACTAAGTGAAGTAAGTCAAAGACCATTGCTTTATGTTACCACTTATACATGGAATCTAAAAAATACAAATGAATCTTATATACAAAGCAAATAGACTCACAGACATAGAAAACAAACTTAGGGTTACTAAAGGAAAGGGAAGTGGGGAGGGATAAATTAGTATAGATTAACAGATACCAACTACTATACATAAAATAGATAAGCAACAAGGATATACGTAACACAGTAGGGAACTATATTCGGTACCTTGTAACAATCTATAATGGAAAGTAATCTGAAAAATATAAATATATACATAGCTGAATCACTTTGCTATATACTTGAAACTAACACAGTATTGTAAATCTGTATTTCAATTCTAAGAAAACTGAATTTTTTCAAATAATGTAACGAATAATTTCAGAAAGAACAAAATACTCGGCCCTGAGTACTTAAAATTCCTAAGTCATTAACATAATACCTGTGTTTATGTATAGTCATAGAAGTTCCAAAGCCAAGTAATTTTTAGATAAAAATAATTTAAAATGCTCATTTAAACACCAGAAACTTTATAAGAAATATCAATACATCTTTAGACTCTGTGAAATAAGGATCTTAGGTATCCAGAAACCAGTTTGAAAAAGTAAGAACAATGAAATATAAGGGAACAAGTCTATTCAGTAGCAGGACGTTATTTGTAGCCATGTCCCCGAGGCATGTTGGGAGATTTTGAGATTTCCAGGGTCTGTAGCCCCTCTGTTCAGTTGCCTGTAGACCACTGATGGGGCATCATCAGAAGTAGTAGTTATATTAGAAAACTATTCATTTTTTTAATTAATAGGGAAAGGAAAATTCCATCTGATTCCTATCTTCTGACATTTGGAGGGTTTACCCACAAAATATGAATATTAGTCACTAAATATTTATACACTCATGAAATCTGCAAACCTGGAGATCATAATAGATTACTGTACTAAGTAGGAACAAGCAAAACCTGTCCCTCAATTAAACTTTTCCATTCATTTGTTAACAGAGTCCTTTAGTTTTTTTTCCAACAGGGCCTTAATTTGAAGGTGTAAGTAACTTTTTGCTTGTGAAGTCTCATCTCCCAGGTTTTTCTTTTTGCTGTTTTAATACTTAAAGGAAACCACACAGCACATCTAAAATCCAGCAAAAGTAAAACTTAATGTAGGAAAAAACCCTAGGTTTAGAGTCAGAAAAACCTAGATTTTAACCCTGACTGTGCCACTAACTTGCCCACTGATCTCTGATAAGAAAGTGGACATTCTAGATCAGGGATCAGCAAACCAGCCCACCAGCCAAATCTGGCTGCTGCCTGCTTTTTAAAATAAGTTTTATTGGAACACAGCCATGCCCATGTGTTGTATGTGGCTGGTTTTGTGCCACAATGGTAGAGCTGAGTACTTGGGACAGAGTCCATAGGGCTTACAAGGCTGAAAATATTTACTATATGACCCTTCACAAAAAATTTTATTTACCACTCTTCTAGATTATGCGAAATGAAGGACTGGATTAAATGGTCTCTGATGTTGTTTCTGCTTGAAATATCTATGATTACAGCTAAACTAAATTTCTAAAGGAAAATTTTAAGTACCACTTTCAAAGAACATGATTCTACATAATGGATCTTACCTTAAAGAATTTAGAGTCCCCAAATCAAAGCCTGAGGCTTTCTTTAAAACTTTTATTAAAGTGCTTAAAATATCTTCTAACATCTGAGTCTCCCCATTGTAGTCAAAGCATGCGCAGGTTAACAAAAAGTAAGATTTATGAAAGGTGGTCACGAGGGAAAGACAGGGTGCAGTCAGTGGCTCTAACGTATATAGTTTATTGAATAGGGATTCAGTGGCCTGGACCACAGTGAGAGTCTTAGTTGGGTCATGGTTGACATCAGAAGGTACTTTTTCTTTATAATGCCGCTAGAGGGTGCCAGTTCCCCGGCAACAGGAATAAATTCATTTTCTTGAAATGAATTTTGAGTGATTTGGGGGCATGGTATGAGACGTTGATATTTCCTTTCTTTGTGACTTTTGGAAGTAAATATCATTTTTTTAAGTTGATAAAATACATTTCATGTTGATGCAAAGCCAGTCTAAATCAGCTAAGTCTCAATTATAAAATAAGCTTAACAGAGCTGCAAAACAACTTTTATATATATGCATTAGCCAATCTAAATTAATCCAGCCAGGTATTGCTTTGAAGAGGCCCTTAGATACCTGGAGTTAATTTGAAAATGAAGAAAAAATTGCTTAAGAACATCATATTGCAGTTCCTGTTCAAGACAGCTATGTATTGGATTGGCCAAAAAGTTCATTTGGGTTTTCCATAAAATGGAAAAACCCGAACGAACTTTTTGGCCAACTCAATATGATGCCTGTGAATTCACCTCCTCTCAAGAGTCTACAGCTACACATGGGACAACTTCCTCTTATAAAAACCTAAAGGCTGGCTGAGTAATAACTACACATTAGGCAAATGAGAAGAAAATCACATCAAAGTGGGTAGGAAAGACTAGGAAACAATCTCACCATACACCCACAAGCAGGAGGGAACTCAAACCCTGGAGCTTCTCCCTGAGGACTGAAGGGTCCAAACCCACTCCTCAAGCATTTCAACTTTTAAGACATACACTGGAGAGATGAGCTCCCCAAATATCTAACTCTGAAAACCAACAGGGCTCATGTTCCTAGACCCACCAGACTCTAGTGATCTTGGAAGCTGCTCTTTTTTTTTTTTCTTTTTAACATCTTTATTGGAGTATAATTGCTTTACAATGGTGTGTTAGTTTCTGCTTTGTAACAAAGTGAATCAGCTACACATATACATATATCCCCATATCTCCTCCCTCTTGCGTCTCCCTCCCACCCTCCCTATCCCACTCCTCTAGGTGGTCACAAAGCAGCAAGCTCATCTCCCTGTGCTATGCAGCTGCTTCCCACTAGCTAGCTATTTTACATTTGGTAGTGTGTATACATCAATACTACTCTGTCACTTTGTCCCAGCTTTCTCTTCCCCCTCCCGTGTGCTCACTCCCACTCCTCTAGGTGGTCACAAAGCAGCAAGCTCATCTCCCTGTGCTATGCAGCTGCTTCCCACTAGCTAGCTATTTTACATTTGGTAGTGTGTATACATCAATACTACTCTGTCACTTTGTCCCAGCTTTCTCTCCCCCCTCCCGTGTGCTCACGTCCATTCTCTGTGTCTGCATCTTTATTCCTGTCCTGCCCCTAGGTTCTTCAGAACCTTTTTTTTTTTTTTCATCTCTTTCTGAGAAAGCGTTGTTTCTACTGCTTACCACAGTAGTAGATCTACAAGTAACAAGTTTTTAGGAAAGGTATATGCTGATCTGTTTCCCTGTGTGATATTTTAATGACCAGTCTTGGATTAGAGACAAATAAATAAAATAATTACTGTATAAGACTTATATTTTTCTCTTTAAAAAAGAGAATGAGTTGTTAAAGCTTTTAGGGGATTAAATTAAATCCTACAAAGTGTGTTCCTTTGGTGAGAATTCGTCAAACACATATGATGAATTCACTTTTCTGTACCTATGTTATACTTCAATTAAAACATTTATTTTTAAAAAGAAACTTCATGGCACTTGACAGCATCATGATCATAGAATATTTTTCCCATTTATAAACTGGGATGTAGAGGGATTAAGTAATTTTATATTAATATTATTAATGGCAAAGCTAGCACTGAGATCCTAGATCCTGGATCCGTATCCTATGTCCCTTTTACTAAAATAGTGTACATACAATTTATGTTCTTTTGTAACTATTAAGATACTTCCTTAAACTGTATTTCTTACAAATTTATCTTGTTAATTTTCCCTACTTTCTTATGAGATCAAGCATATTATGCTCATTAAGTTGATGAATTGTTCAAAAAAAATGTCAGCTAACTTGCTAAAAAGTCTGAGGCATAATTAGAGCAAATTGGTGTCTTCTTAAACTTCAGTAAATTAAATGGACCTAACCAGAAGGGTTAATTATTTCTTAAATTTTTTGTATTCTAGAAAACAAGGCTCACCTTTCTGGGGCCTTTGAGAACATGGGCCTCCTGCCCTAATCATGCTTCTGTTCTTTACCCTCCTGATAAGAGTTTTAATTGAATCATGCTGCTGCTGGAAGTTTTTGGAAAGGTGTCTTTGGAGAATTATAATGTTGTTAAATGATGTCCAAACAGTTACAGATGCATCTTTTGTATACTATCATATTCTCTTAAAGAGCTGGAGGGTGAGATGAATCTCATTACTACACTGGCAAATGGAGAGAAAATAACTTTTATAGATTATTCTCACATTGTTGTTTTACACACATCAAAAAAAAATAGGTTGGTGTTACCTTTTCAGGTTTTCTCACTTTTTTTCTTATATTTCTTTAATAAAATTTAGATTCATGACCAGAACTGTCCTTTGGCAAATGTCATCTGTGAATACTGCAACACCATGCTCATCAGAGAACAGGTATAATGATTCCCTTTCATAAATCAGTATTTCCATAAATAGGTTAAAGAAGTGAATTAGGTTTTTAACTGAAAATTTAAATCAGTAAGGCAAAATGAACACAGGTCGAAGAAGAATTAAAACTATGTGAATTTTAAATGCAAATCAGAATCACAATGAGGTATCACCTCACTATCATCAAAAAGTCTACAAATAATGTTCTGGAGAGGGTGTGGGGAAAAGAGAACCCTCCTTCACTGTTGGTGAGAATGTAAATTGGTGCAGCCACTATGGAAAACAGTATGGAGTTTCCTTAAAAAACTAAAAATAGAACTACCATATGATCCAGCAATCTCACTCATGGGCATATATCCCCAAAAGATGAAAACTCTTAATTTGAGAAGGTACGTAGGGAATTCCCTGGTGGTCTGGTGGTTAGGACTCTGCTTTCACTGCCGAGGGCCCAGGTTCAGTTCCTGGTCGGGGAACTAAGATCCTGCAGGCTGCGCGGCACGGCCAAAAAAAAAAAGAAGAAAAGGTACATGCACCCCAGTGTTTATAGCAGCATTATTTATAATAGCCAAGACTTGGAAACAACCGATTGGTTTAAGAACATGTGATATATATAGATAATAGAATATTACTCAGCCATAAAAAAGAATGAAATACTTCCATTTGCAGCAACATGGATGGACCTAGAGAATATTATACTAAGTGAAGTAAGTCAAAGACCATTGCTTTATGTTACCACTTATACATGGAATCTAAAAAATACAAATGAATCTTATATACAAAGCAAATAGACTCACAGACATAGAAAACAAACTTAGGGTTACTAAAGGAAAGGGAAGTGGGGAGGGATAAATTAGTATAGATTAACAGATACCAACTACTATACATAAAATAGATAAGCAACAAGGATATACGTAACACAGTAGGGAACTATATTCGGTACCTTGTAACAATCTATAATGGAAAGTAATCTGAAAAATATAAATATATACATAGCTGAATCACTTTGCTATATACTTGAAACTAACACAGTATTGTAAATCTGTATTTCAATTCTAAGAAAACTGAATTTTTTCAAATAATGTAACGAATAATTTCAGAAAGAACAAAATACTCGGCCCTGAGTACTTAAAATTCCTAAGTCATTAACATAATACCTGTGTTTATGTATAGTCATAGAAGTTCCAAAGCCAAGTAATTTTTAGATAAAAATAATTTAAAATGCTCATTTAAACACCAGAAACTTTATAAGAAATATCAATACATCTTTAGACTCTGTGAAATAAGGATCTTAGGTATCCAGAAACCAGTTTGAAAAAGTAAGAACAATGAAATATAAGGGAACAAGTCTATTCAGTAGCAGGACGTTATTTGTAGCCATGTCCCCGAGGCATGTTGGGAGATTTTGAGATTTCCAGGGTCTGTAGCCCCTCTGTTCAGTTGCCTGTAGACCACTGATGGGGCATCATCAGAAGTAGTAGTTATATTAGAAAACTATTCATTTTTTTAATTAATAGGGAAAGGAAAATTCCATCTGATTCCTATCTTCTGACATTTGGAGGGTTTACCCACAAAATATGAATATTAGTCACTAAATATTTATACACTCATGAAATCTGCAAACCTGGAGATCATAATAGATTACTGTACTAAGTAGGAACAAGCAAAACCTGTCCCTCAATTAAACTTTTCCATTCATTTGTTAACAGAGTCCTTTAGTTTTTTTTCCAACAGGGCCTTAATTTGAAGGTGTAAGTAACTTTTTGCTTGTGAAGTCTCATCTCCCAGGTTTTTCTTTTTGCTGTTTTAATACTTAAAGGAAACCACACAGCACATCTAAAATCCAGCAAAAGTAAAACTTAATGTAGGAAAAAACCCTAGGTTTAGAGTCAGAAAAACCTAGATTTTAACCCTGACTGTGCCACTAACTTGCCCACTGATCTCTGATAAGAAAGTGGACATTCTAGATCAGGGATCAGCAAACCAGCCCACCAGCCAAATCTGGCTGCTGCCTGCTTTTTAAAATAAGTTTTATTGGAACACAGCCATGCCCATGTGTTGTATGTGGCTGGTTTTGTGCCACAATGGTAGAGCTGAGTACTTGGGACAGAGTCCATAGGGCTTACAAGGCTGAAAATATTTACTATATGACCCTTCACAAAAAATTTTATTTACCACTCTTCTAGATTATGCGAAATGAAGGACTGGATTAAATGGTCTCTGATGTTGTTTCTGCTTGAAATATCTATGATTACAGCTAAACTAAATTTCTAAAGGAAAATTTTAAGTACCACTTTCAAAGAACATGATTCTACATAATGGATCTTACCTTAAAGAATTTAGAGTCCCCAAATCAAAGCCTGAGGCTTTCTTTAAAACTTTTATTAAAGTGCTTAAAATATCTTCTAACATCTGAGTCTCCCCATTGTAGTCAAAGCATGCGCAGGTTAACAAAAAGTAAGATTTATGAAAGGTGGTCACGAGGGAAAGACAGGGTGCAGTCAGTGGCTCTAACGTATATAGTTTATTGAATAGGGATTCAGTGGCCTGGACCACAGTGAGAGTCTTAGTTGGGTCATGGTTGACATCAGAAGGTACTTTTTCTTTATAATGCCGCTAGAGGGTGCCAGTTCCCCGGCAACAGGAATAAATTCATTTTCTTGAAATGAATTTTGAGTGATTTGGGGGCATGGTATGAGACGTTGATATTTCCTTTCTTTGTGACTTTTGGAAGTAAATATCATTTTTTTAAGTTGATAAAATACATTTCATGTTGATGCAAAGCCAGTCTAAATCAGCTAAGTCTCAATTATAAAATAAGCTTAACAGAGCTGCAAAACAACTTTTATATATATGCATTAGCCAATCTAAATTAATCCAGCCAGGTATTGCTTTGAAGAGGCCCTTAGATACCTGGAGTTAATTTGAAAATGAAGAAAAAATTGCTTAAGAACATCATATTGCAGTTCCTGTTCAAGACAGCTATGTATTGGATTGGCCAAAAAGTTCATTTGGGTTTTCCATAAAATGGAAAAACCCGAACGAACTTTTTGGCCAACTCAATATGATGCCTGTGAATTCACCTCCTCTCAAGAGTCTACAGCTACACATGGGACAACTTCCTCTTATAAAAACCTAAAGGCTGGCTGAGTAATAACTACACATTAGGCAAATGAGAAGAAAATCACATCAAAGTGGGTAGGAAAGACTAGGAAACAATCTCACCATACACCCACAAGCAGGAGGGAACTCAAACCCTGGAGCTTCTCCCTGAGGACTGAAGGGTCCAAACCCACTCCTCAAGCATTTCAACTTTTAAGACATACACTGGAGAGATGAGCTCCCCAAATATCTAACTCTGAAAACCAACAGGGCTCATGTTCCTAGACCCACCAGACTCTAGTGATCTTGGAAGCTGCTCTTTTTTTTTTTTCTTTTTAACATCTTTATTGGAGTATAATTGCTTTACAATGGTGTGTTAGTTTCTGCTTTGTAACAAAGTGAATCAGCTACACATATACATATATCCCCATATCTCCTCCCTCTTGCGTCTCCCTCCCACCCTCCCTATCCCACTCCTCTAGGTGGTCACAAAGCAGCAAGCTCATCTCCCTGTGCTATGCAGCTGCTTCCCACTAGCTAGCTATTTTACATTTGGTAGTGTGTATACATCAATACTACTCTGTCACTTTGTCCCAGCTTTCTCTTCCCCCTCCCGTGTGCTCACGTCCATTCTCTGTGTCTGCATCTTTATTCCTGTCCTGCCCCTAGGTTCTTCAGAACCTTTTTTTTTTTTTTAATTCCACGTATATGTGTTAGCATACAGTATTTGTTTTTCACTTTCTGACTTCACTCTGTATGACAGACTCTAGGTCCATCAGCCTCACTACAAATAACTCAATTTTGTTTCTTTTTGTGGCTAATATTCCATTGTATATATGTGCCACATCTTTATCCATTCATCTGTCAATGGACACAGGTAGCTTCCACATCCTGGCTATTGTAAATAGCTGCAGTGAACATTGTGATACATGTGTCTTTCTGAATTATGGTTTTCTCAGGATATATGCCCAGTAGTGGGATTGCTGGGTCGTATGGTAGTTCTATTTTTAGTTTTTTAAGGAACCTCCATACTGTTCTCCATAGTGGCTGTATCAATTTACATTCCCACCAACAGTGCAAGAGAGTTCCCTTTTCTCCACACCCTCTCCAGCATTTATCGTTTCCAGATTTTTTGATGATGGCCATTCTGACAGGTGTGAGGTGATACCTCATTGTAGTTTTGATTTGCATTTCTCTAATGATTAGTGATGTTGAGCATCCTTTCATGTGTTGGGAATCTGTATATCTTCTTTGGAGAAATGTCTATTTAGGTCTTTGGCCCATTTTTGGATTGGGTTGTTTGTTTCTTTGATATTGAGCTGCATGAGCTGCTTGTAAATTTTGGAGATTAATCCTCTGTCAGGTGCTTCATTTGCAGATATTTTCTCCCATTCTGATGGTTGTCTTTTCATCTTGTTTATGGTTTCCTTTGCTGTGCAAAAGCTTTTAAGTTTCATTAGGTCCCATTTGTTTATTTTTCTTTTTATTTCCATTTCGTTAGGAGGTGGTCAAGAAGGATCTTGCTGTGATTTATGTCATAGAGTGTTCTTCCTATGTTTTCCTCTAAGAGTTTTATAGTGTCTGGCCTTACATTTAGGTCTTTAATCCATTTTTTTATTTTTGTGTATGGCATTAGGGAGTGTTCTAATTTCATTCTTTTACATATAGCTGTCCAGTTTTCCCAATACCACTTACTGAATAGGCTGTTTCTTCTCCGTTGTGTATTCTTGGCTCCTTTATCAAAAATAAGGTGACCATGTGTGCGTGGGTTTATCTCTGGGCTTTTGATCCTGTTTCACTGATGTATATTTCTATTTTTGTGCTAGTACCATACTGTCTTGATTACTGTAGCTTTGTAGTATAGTTTGAAGTCAGGGAACCTGATTCCTCCAGCTCCGATTTTCTTT